CTTCAAAAATACGGTTTAGGGTTTAGGGTTTAGAGAGGGGCCTTAATAATGAGAATAGGGTTTTGGGGTAGGTTCTTCTATAATAAGGAGCCGGGGAGAGCCCAGGAAAGCCAACACCTGCGATGCCATCCGGGCTGCTGCAGAGAGTGACGGCCTGTCACTGGGATCTCCTTAGGAAGCACCCTCTTGGGTTAAGGGTTTAGGGTTTAGGGTTTAGGGTTTTGAGCTTTTGTTTAGGGTTAAGGGTTAAGGGTTTAGGGTTTATAGGGTTTTGACTATTGACTTCTGATAACCAGGAACCCCCAAAAATAGTATTCGTTATCTAGACCCCTATATTACACCCCCAATTTGAGGGTGTGATGTAGGGGTCTAAATTTTAAAAAATACGCACACTATTTTGGGGGTTCCTGATTATCATTATAGTACGTATAATATACCCCAAAACTCCATTTGCCCATTTGTTGGGGTTTAAGGCTTAGCGAGTGGGGGTTTACAGTCATCTGTTCAGTTTGCTAAAGGTTCGGTAGGCTGTTTTAGTTTTAAGTATTATTAGAGTTTACGTGGATTTAAACAACTCAGTTTAAGTTACCGCAAGAACATGCTATTATTTCAGATTTCCCTTGCTCCTGCTGGCTAGTAACCTAAATCTTGTTCCCCAAACACTAAACCCCTAAATCCTCTCCGAAGTCCTAAATCCTGTACCCTAAACCCTAACCTAAGCCCTAAGCCCCAAGCCCTAAGCCCCAAGCCCTAAACGCTAAACCCTCAGCCCCAAGCCTTCAGGCAGTGGCAGGGGACGGAGCTGCCTAAGGGACCGCCGGAGACCGGGCACTACGTGGCCCTGCTCCTCGATCGTTAACTAAGAAGGTTAGAAGGGTTCAGGGTTTAGAGTTTAGATTTGGGGTTGGGGGGTTGTGGCTTAGGGTTCAGGGTTTACAGTTTAGAATTTTACGGCTCTTGGGTTTAGGCTTTAAGTGTGACTATAGATTACTGGTTTTGGGTTTCGAATTGTGGTGTTTCGGTAAGCGCAACCAAGAATACGGGATTCCTAATTTCGGGGGACCTGGTTTAAGTTTCAGAGGTCCGTATCAGAGGGATCCTGGAAAAGGTCTCTGAAGTGTTGTAGCAGGAGATTGAGGAACTGAGAATCCCCAAAGAGCTGAAACTTGATCTCAAACCTCATAGTAAACTCGTTTTCATCGTCGCCCCCCTGATTTTGATGTATTGTGCTCTGTGGAACTAAGGGTTTCGCTTTTGGAATTTGAGGTTTCGAGGGTTTAGGTCTTCGGAACACACTTCCCTGATCCTGACCATAAAACCTTATGTAACAACATAGTTGCCTCCAGCATAATATAGAGCAGGGTTGGGGGTGCATTTTACTGTACTTATAATAAGGAGCCCCCGAAACCTTATTCTAATTATTAAGGCCTTACCCTACATTACACACAACATCACAATTGCGAGTTGTTGGCTCAAAGGCTTCATGCTTCGAGTCCACAGGGCAGACCCCAAACCCAAAACCCTAAGCCTAAACCTGAACAGTGGCTTGCAGTGGGTTTAGCCGTGCCAGAAGGGCTACAGCGGTTATTTTCAAGAAACTTTCCAGAAGCGGAACTTATGTCGGACATTCCTTAGGAGAGGATTGGGTTTAAGGATTAGTGTTTAGGGTTAAGGAACCAGACAAGCGCCCAGCACCCGAACCCTGAACCCCTAAATATAATATACTATACCATACCGGAATATAGAATACTCTACCATTCCATATTTCTACTGAGCTCCCAACCCCTGAATTCAAACCGAAAACTTGAAACTTAACCCAAAGGCCTTGTCGAAGCACTGCGAAGTCAGAATATAGGGGCCTCAATAATTTCATATACAATTTTGGGGGTTCCTTATTATAATAATAGGTATAATATACCCCAAAACGCTATTCCGTTTATTAAGGCCCCCAAACCCTAAACCCTTATAGTAGCCCTTATAGAACCCTTTAAGGAACCCTTTAAAGGAGCCCCTAAACCCTATTCTACTATTAAGGCACCTATATTATAGGTTTTGGAGCCTTTATGGCTTCCGGGCTCAGGGGCTTAGGGGGTCCTGGGGTTTAGGGTGACGCTTTAGGGGGGTTTTAGGGTCTAGAGTTTAGGGTTGAGGGCTTCAGGTAGTTCTTATTGTGTTCCTCCGTCAGACCTAATCTAGCAGAAGCCGTATCCGCACCGCAACTCGAGTACTGCAACGCCCCCCATCGGCTTTGAAAGGTGATCTTGCCTCTGTGTTTAGGGTTTAGGGCTTTGGGTTTTGGGTTGTGGGGATGTTAAGCTTCACATAATTTGGGTGTCAGGTGTAAGCTTTGGTATCAGCCCCCGTGTTAGAGGACTCCTGGGTTGAAGCAGAGGTACTACGCGCAAAACCCTGCCAAGCTCTGTAGCACACTGTGCAACACCATAAGAGACAGGCAAAACCATGCAAAACCCATGAAAGTATTGAGAACCCTAAACCCTAAACCCTAAACCCTAAACCCTAACTCTAACTCTAAACCCTGAACCCTGATGAGACAGGTTCATCTGGCCAGACACGAATTTCCACTGGGTCCGCATGGACAAGACTGGCCTCTGGACCCAGCAAGGGTAATACAGGGGCCTTAATAGTTAGAATAGGGTTTTGGGGCCCAGTATACCTATAATTATAAGAAGGAGCCCCCCTCAAAATAGTATTGGTAATTATTTTGCCCTCTACATTACAGGGTTTAGAGTTATTCCAATTGTCGCACCAATTATAAAGGCCCCTACAAGAAACACGAAAACCCGAAACACGGTGTTGTGGATGCATGATGCCTAAGTAGCCTAGGATGTATGGTCGCCCTTTTGCGCTTGAAGCCTGGAATGATGCAGTTATGATGTTGTTGGAGGAGGTTCTGTGTTTTCATGGTTGTTTATGGAACGTTAATGCGTCTAATGTGGTCTCCTGATTAGTAACCCCCCCCCCCCCCAAACAACCAAAACCCGCAATAGTGGAAGGTCGGTTCGGGTGATCGTCTTGCGTTGTTTGGGGGGGGGGGGGGTCGAAGTTGTTTGGGGGGGGCGGGGTCGAAGTTGTTTGGGGGGCCGGGGTCGAAGTTGTAGTAATTAGTACAGTGGTACAGTAGTACAGTAGTGCCTTAAGTCTGGCTGGCTCGCTATTTGTTTTCTCTGTGTCTCCTTTATCTTGCCTGTTTCTGTCTCTCCTCTTCCAGGGCGTGACTTTGTAGTAGGACTGCTTATATACCTAAACCTTAAAATTTTAGGACTATTGAGGGGTGGGCCGAGTTTAGCTCTATTGAGGGGACCTTCCACTATTGAGTTCCGGGCCGAGTTTAGCTCTATTGAGGGGACCATTACTAATCACGAGCTCACATTACGGCATGTACAGTGTTTCAAGACGATGGGGTTCACATTGGGGCTATAAGGCTCGTGAGGAAGATGGGTGGAGTGCAAATGTCGGGTGCCCCTGTTGGATTCCCAGGAGCCACAAGCCCGGCGGCACGCCTGTGCGGAACACAGACAACAACGGACAACAGATCCTTTGCTGTCAAGCTTCGCGGAAGATAACTCCTCTAAACCCCAAAACCTAAACCGTCAAGCCCTCAACTCCAACCCCAAGCCCTAAGCATAACACAATGCCCCACACCCTACACCTGAATCACTTTACAACCCTAAAGGCTAACACATTGAACCCTAAACCATCCAAGACCTCCCCTTTTGGGTAACGGGGGGTATGGGATTCGAGACATTTGGATCAAGTTTGGGATTGAGGAGCTTCGCTAGAAAGGCGCTTAGAGTTTTGGGGTTTGGGATTTGGGTTCTTCAATTTTCGGATTTATGGTTCGGGGTGGAGGAGTTCGGGTTCGGGGTTGAGGGTTTAATGTAGGAGGCTAAATAATTACCAATACTATGTTGGGCGGGTTTCTTATTATAGATACAGTATCAAATGCTCCGAAACCCTATTCTAGTGTCTAATTTTGTAGTGCTGCCGATGGTGCGGTATTGGAGCGGAGCGATTTTGGTGATGCTAGCTTTATGTTGAGGCGTCGAGGACTTGTATAACTGGACTTGTCGAGCGTGTCGGCGGCTGATGGTTTAGGAATTGGCGCTTCGGGTAGGTCATATCTAAGAGCAGCAGCAAGAAGGTGGTGCCACAACAGTCTCGACAATCGTGATCATACTTCTCGACATAACACAGCAAAGATACTATCCGTTGCAGTCTATAAGAAAGGCGACTGCAGAAATCATAGCTGTAAGAGTCATGACCCTAAAAGCCAAGCAGCATGTCATCGGAAATGCCAACAACGATCAGAAACGTCAGAACCATAGCAAAGGTGCAATTGGGGCGGAAAGCCTAAGGTACCCTCTCTACAACCCCACACAGTGGGCCGGTTGACTTGGGC